GAGAACGAATTCTGTTGACATGCCTTTCTTCTCCCAAACTTCTTTCCAGCTACAAATGTGGCCAGAGGGCGTCCAGCTTTTCAATCGTCCACTATTGAAAGCCAGTTCAATTCAGTGGCCAGAAAAGCCGTGGACGGGAATTGCAGTGGACGCTGGATTGGGCAGGACAGTTGCACCCACACCAAGAAAGAAAAGGACCCCTGGTGGTACGTGGACCTGGGGAGGCAGTATGCCATTTCATCCGTGGTGGTGAAAAGCCGCGAGGACTGCTGCGGAGAGAGGCTCCGGGGAGCACAGATCCGCGTGGCAGACTGCGTGCCCAACCGTGGATTTTCCAACCGTCTGTAAGTTCCTCTTGGCTCACTCCACAGAAAGTGGTTAATTGGGAGATCAAAGGGCTAGGAATACAACGTCAATTTGGTAGCGCCCAGGACACTGTAGATGGTGGCAGCGCTTGGATTTGGGGTGGGGGGGAAGCTAAATTGCTGAAGGCTTCTGTGTTTTTGAGCATCCTTTCTTGAGGAATGGATTTCTTAATTTTGTTTAGTGTAAGGCATCTACAGAGGTCATGCAATGCACAAATGTACAAATATAAGTTTAAATGAAGCTTCGGCAAATATAGATACATGACAGATAGTTAGATGATAGATGATAGATAATAAAACTAGATAAAGGATATGTGAGATAATGAATGATAGATAGATAGATAGATAGATAGATAGATAGATAGATAGATAGATAGATAGATAGATAGATAGATAGATAGAGATAGATAGATAGATAGATAGATAGATAGATAGATAGATACACAGAATGATAAATGGAAGATAGATAGATAGATAGATAGATAGATAGACAGATAGATAGATAGATAGACAGACAGACAGACAGACAGACAGACAGAAAAATAGATAGGGAATGAGGGCAATACAATATAGGAGATAAAACATTAAATTAAGATAAAACCGTAATAAAATCACCATAATATGGCACCACGGAATCACAATGGGATAGATCAGTGGTTCTCAACCATAGCAACTTAAAAACGTGTGAATTTCAACTCTGCAGCCAGAAATCTGCAGCCAGCCACCTCTTCAAGTTGCCAAGGTTGAGAAGCCCTGGGGTAGGTGTTACAGGTCGATACCCAAGGAAGGTAGCCTTCTAACCGCTTCTGCTGTGGCTGCCATGAGTTCCTCCAAAGTGCCCTGAAGTGTCCCAGGAGACCTTCTCCAACTATACATGTTACCATTTGCAGGGACGCATTATCTGCTCTTTTGATTCTCTCTTTCTGAACCATCGCAAACCATGAAAGGGTCTCCTCCTTTTCCCCCCCTTCCAACAGCTGTGGGACCATCACCAACACCCGTCTGGGCGCCATCAGCACCATCTCCTGCAAAGGTCAAGTGGGGCGCTATGTCATCGTCACCGTCCCTGGTCGCACGGTATCCCTGGCCCTGTGCGAGGTGGAGGTCTACGGGACCAAAGTGTGAAGCCAGCACCCACGTGTGTCAGGACAGACATGGGGATAATTCATCATTTAGATCAGTTTTGACTCTCAAATAAACTTACTTTAAGCAACACTTTTGTTTCTGGGTTTGGTTTATAATAAGCCCCCCCCCCCCGAAGAATAACGAAGTTGGAAGGGAGATTGAAGGTCTTCTAGTCCAACCCACTACTCAAGCAGGAGACCCCATACCATTCCAGACAAATGCCTGTCCAGCAGTGGTGGTATTCTACCGGTTCGGCCTGGTTTGGCAGAACTGGTAGCTCCAACAATCGTCTGTGAGTGAACCGGTTTGCTCCAATGATCAGCTCCTCCCACCCACCTTGGCTCTATTCTGACCTAGATTTCCTGCTTTTCAACCTCGGCCGTTTCGCGCGGCACAGCGGATTGCTGGGCGTCAGCTGTTGGAGACACAAGGAGAGTGCAGGATTGCAGGAGAAGGTTAGTAGCCAATCCTCCCGTGCACACGTAAAGCAAAGCGTGCATGCACAGGCAAAGCGTGCCCACCAAGCCACACCCACAGAACTGGTGGTAAAAAAAATTGAAACCCACCACTGCTGTCCACTCTCTTCTTTAAAATGCCCTGGGAGATGTCCTTCTTCCAGCTTTTGTTAAAACTTTTCTATGGCCCTTCAACTTCCACATTTTGTTTTTGTGGAGAAACCTGAATTATGGTCGTGTGAGACCGGGAAAAAGACTTTTTCCCATACTTGTCCCGTCTCCTGCTCCAAACTAGAACACGGATTCATAGGACTGGAAGGGACCTCAGAGGTCTTCTAGTCCAACCCCCTGCTCAAGCAGGAGACCCTATACCAGTGATGGCTAACCTATGACACGCGTGTCACTCGTGACACGCCGAGGCACTTTGACTGACACGCCTGTTGGTGTGGGGAAAACCTGCACATTTAGAGGCTGCCTGTGCTCTGCTCCAATCCCTGCTCCCTGCTTGTTGCGTGGAGGCGTGGTGTCACCGCTGCTGCAAGGTCTTTGCAGCAGAGAACCAGTTTTAACCGCCATAAACTGAGGTTTGTCAGTTTCATTACCTCAGGAACGCTACAGAAGGAAAGGAGATCCATGAGGTTCACAGCCCTGTAAGGTGGCCTTCCGATCCCCACATCCTGCACCTGCAGCCCTGAGACCAGGGAGACGAGTTTCACAGCCCTGTGGGATCACCCCAGCCCAGTCCGTCATAAACCAAATTATTGATATTTCTTGAAGTGACACACGACCCGAGGAAGGCTACACTTTTTCCCGATTTTTGACACACCAAGCTGAAAAGGTTAGCCATCACTGCCCTAGACCATTTCAGACAAGCGGCTGCCCAGTCTCTTCTTGAAAACCTCCAGTGATGAAGAAGCACCCACAACTTCTGGTGGCAGGCTGTTCCACTGGTTGATTGTCTTCACTGTTAGGAAGTTTCTCCCGAAATCCAGGTTGCTTCTCTCCTTGATCAGTTTCCATCTGTTGCTTCTTCTCCTGCCTTCTGGTGTTTTGGAGAAGAGGTTGACCCCCCCCCCACTCTTCTTTGGGGCAGCCCCTCAAATATTGGAAGACTGCTAACATGCCACCCCTAGTCCGTCTTTTAATTAGATTAGACATAACCAATTCCTGCAACCATTCTTCATATGTGTTATTTCAAGATTCCAACAATCCACCAGGAGCTCCGAGAAACACCTTGCTAGATTGCTAAGAAGACCCCTAAATACCTGCAGGAACTCCCTGGTTTCTGTTGACTGCCAGGGACGGATAAATGTATCAGTTCAGATCACACGCCATGGCAGTCTGCTTCCTGTTTGCCTACTTGGTCAATATTTAATCAAGGGATTTACGATACTCTAACTTCTTATATATTTGTTGCATTGGGACGACACAATCCCTTCCGTTGATTGCTGTGAAGGAAGCTCTATCACATATCTAGCAAAGCTCCAGGAATCCAGCGCAACATAAGCAGCGGGTCAGACTTAAATAACAAATAAATTATGCTGTAAAAGAAAGAGTAATACAAGGCAACAAAGCGTCATCCAGGTCTCACATTGGCCAATTCAGTCTTTGGCAATAACAAGAGTCCTCTCCAAGTTTGTACACAGTACAACGTCCACAGTGACTGGATTTCAAATTGTTTCCTATAAAAATTCTGGAGAGTAATTGATAGTTCTCATTTTCTCTGTTTCTCCTGCTGCATTTGCTGAGAGGCCCTTGAACGTCAACCAAGAATTTCACCTGGACAGCCAGAATTCCCCATGGCTGGCTGGGGAATTCTGGGAATTGAAGTCCACCAGTCTTAAAATTGCCAAATTTGGAGACCTCTGGCTTAATTAATCGCTTAGCTACTACAACAGGAGAGTGGGAATTCCAGTCATCAACTAAGGTGGTCAGGTGGATACCTACAGAGGGTGGTATTCAGCAGGTTCTGACCAGTTCTGGAGAGATGGAAGCAGAAATTTTAAGTAGTTCGGAGAACCAGCAAATACCAGCTCTGATTCCCCACCCCACCCCCATTCTCCCAAGTCTCAGCTGATCGGCTGAATCTTCTTTTGTTGCCCTGCACAGGAGAACGGAGCTGCAAAGCAGGTTGGTGAGGTGGGGAGGCAATGGGGATTTTACAGTATCGTTCCCCTGCCATGCCCACACACACATATATATTGATATATAAAAGAATATATTATAATTATAATCAGCATCTCAAGGTTAGAAGTTGGAAGATAAAAACTGTGTATGTAATTGTATTGTTACTGTTAGCATTGTGTGAAAAATATATTAACCCAGTAATTACACTGTCCACAAAAAATGTTGGTTGTTAAAGGATAAAATATATACAACAACAAATAAAATATATACAACAATAACAAAAACAGAAAGAGGAATAACAGAGGTGGAATTCAGCCGGTTCTGACCGGTTCCAGAGAATCAGTAGTGGAAATTTTGAGTAGTTTGGAGAACCAGCAAATCCCCCCTCTGACTGGCCCCACCAACCCACCTATTCTCTGCCTCCCATTGAGTCCCAGCTGATTGGTTGGGTCTCCTTTGGTTGCCCTGCACAGGAGAACGGAGCTGGAAAGCAGGTCAGTGGGGAGGGAAGGGTTTTTTTGCAGTAACCTTCCCCTGCCACGCCCACCATGCCACACCCACCAAGCTAAGCCATGTCTATCAAGACACACCCACAGAACCAGTAGTAAAAATTTTTGAATCCCACCACTGATTGGAAGGGACCTTGGAGGTCTTCTAGTCCAACCCCCTGCTCCAGCAGGAGACCCTATACCATTTGAGACAAGTGGCTGTCCAGTCTCTTCTGAAAGACCTCCAACGATGAAGCACCTACAACTTCTGGAGGGAAACTGTTCCACTGGTCAATTGTTCTCACTGGCATAAAATTTCTCTTTAGTTCCAGGTTGCGTCTCTACTTGGTTTCCACCTGTTGCTTCAGGTGCTTTGGAGAATAAACTGACCCCCTCTACTTTGTGGCAGCCCCTCAAATATTGGAACACTGTTATCGTGTCACTCCGGTCCTTCTTTTCATTAAACTAGACATACCCAATTCCTGTTTTAGCCTTTAGTCACCTAATTACCTTTGGTTGCTCTTCTTAGAATCTCAACATCTTTGTATACACTGTAGGACACTATTCTCTCTCCAAATCCACTATTGTGGTCATCTCCTGCAAAGGTAGCTGCCCACTTATGTTGACTTTGGAGATGCAAGCATGCTGGAGTCTTGCAAAAACTTCCTATTGCTGCTTGCTCACAGACAATGGTGATGTTCCCATATGGAAACCAGTTGGCCTCTGCCAAGGAAGACTATTAGGTTCCTCTCAAGATAATCACATTAACAGGCAGAAAGAGGTGAGATCCTGTAGGATGTGGGTTATGCAGCATGTCCTCTCTCCCACTGTCAGCAGCCAGAAGCAGATAGCAGATAATCAGAGTGGAAGGGACCTTGTAGATCATCTAGTCCAACCCCCACCCCGCCCAAGCGGGAGACCCTACACCATTTCTGTCCAATGGCAGTCCAATCTCTTCTTGAAAGTCTCAAATGATGGCAAGCTGCTCCATGGGTTGATTGCTCTCCCTGTCAGAAAGTTTCTCCTGATTTCCAGGTTGAATCTCTCCTTGGTCAGTTTCCATCTATTCTTTCTTGTCTGGCCTTCGGGTGCTTTGGAAAAGCAAGGAGGAAACAACCAATGGGAGATTTGTAACCTGGTCCTGATTGCTCTGCACCTTCCCATTGGCTGGCTGTGCTGTCTGAAGGAGGAGCCACCCCATTAGGAAAGAAGTTAAAACTGTCCAAAATAGAAGAATGCCAATATTCTGGAGAAATCGCAGTTTGAAAAGGAGCAGCTGTGAAACTCCCCCACATTTGGTTGGCCAGGTGAGAGACTCCAGGTGAGTTAAGCTATGGAGTGAATGCCTCAGAACAAAGCTGCTTGCCTTCTCTACCTTCAACAGGAGGTCTTCACCTTGATGGATCTATTTGCAAAATGTTTTTCATCTGGATGGGTGTTGAAGAGTTCTGAGGGTGTTTGTGTGTCCTGAGATCATTTATAGACAGACTGCCATTTGCCACAGTGTTTATGGCCATGCTCTAGGAGCCAGGAGGCCATGAATTCTGATCCTGCCACAGGCATGAAAGTCAACTAGGCCAGGGGTCTCTAACCCTTGGCAACTTGAAGACTTGTGGACTTCAACCCCCCCGAATCCCTCAGCCACTTCTACGTTTGCTGTAACTCAGGGGTGTCCAACCTTGAGACTTTAAGACTTGTGGACTTCAATTGGCTGGGGAATTCTGGGTATTGGAAGTCCACAAGTTCCCAAGGTTGGGGACACCTACGCTAGACAACCTTGGGCCAGCCACTCTCTCTCAGCCCTAAAAAGAAGATCAGGGCAAAACACTTCCAGAAATGTTGCCATACTATTTCCATAGAGTCATAATGAAGCTGGATTAGATCTCCTCTCTGGGAATAGCCAGAGGTTTTCCAATAACTATCCTAGAAATCCAGAAGCAGGGCCCCCTAGCCCAGCATCCCAAAAACCTGGACAGAGGAAATCTGTAGGCCAGACAAGGAATCATGGATGGAAACGGACCAAGGAGAGATTCAACCTGGAAATAAGGAGAAACTTTCTGACCGGGAGAACCATCAACCCGTGGAACAGAAGTTGCCTTCGGAAGTTGTGGGAGCTTCATCCCTGGAGGCTTTCAAGAAGAGACTGGACTGCTCTCTGTCAGACAATGGTGTAGGGTCTCCTGCTTGAGCAGGGGGTTGGGCTAGATGACCTACAGGGTCCCTTCCAACTCTGGTCATCTGTTATCTGTTTTGGCTGCTGACAGGGTCAATATTTGCCCAAGATTATCCCACTCCAATCCATGGTCAGGATAAGATCTGCCTCCTGCAATTCACCTTTCGCTCCCTGCTTCCCTCTGATTTTTGCAGTTGATCGAGAGCTTCCTCATTCTCCAAGGTGGGAAATTGGACCTGGGCAGTGGTGGGATTCAAATTTTTTTACTACCGGTTCTGTAGGCGTGGCTTGGTGGGCGTGGCAGGGGAAGGATACTGTAAAATCTCCAGTCAGAGGTGGGATTTGCCGGTTCTCTGAACTACTCAAAATTTCCACTACCGGTTCTCCAGAACGGGTCAGAACCTACTGAATACCCACCTCTGGACCTGGGACCCCCCATGTTTAAGACACCATTGGCATATGATGAAAGGAATCAACCCTCAACCGATGTTATTCGAAACTGGATGAAATGGGCATTACACCCAGATCAGGAAACTCTGTGGCTGCCCTCTTAGCCTTCTGGAGGGCTGTGAAGTCCAGGTTCTTCCACCTAGGAGCAGCTCAGTTTTGTGTGAAAGCAGCCAGAACCTCTGGGGAGAAGCTGCAGGTAGAACAGGGGTGGGATCCAACCAAGTGTAATAACCGGTTTGGCGAGTGCACGCTTTGTGCGCCAAATGCCCACTGCATTTTGAAAACCACCTTCTCCTGGAAGCCCTGTGTGTACCACAACATTCACGCGGCGATCAGCTGTGCCACGCGAGACAGCTGAGGTTGGAAAAGCAGGAAATAAAAGGCAGCCAAGAGCCTGGGAGGGCAGGTGGGAGCGAATGTCCCACTTCAAAACTCTTTTCCTGCCTGCTGGTCTGGTCGGTTTCCAGTGGGAAGGCCCCGTTGGGTGGGCTGCCCTCTTCTGGCAACAGAGGTCTTGATCCCCAAAGTACTCCCAGCCTCTGCAGAGGTCAGTTGCCAAGCAGGACTCCAGTCCGGGGGCTCCAGCATAGAACAGGATAACAGAGGTGGAAGGGACCTTGGAGGTCTTCTAGTCCAACCCCCTGCTTAAGCAGGAAACCTGTACCACTTCGGACAAATGGTTATCCAACCTCTTCTTTAAAATGTCCAGTGTTGGAGCATTCACAAGTTCTGGAGGCAGGTTGCTCCACTGGTTAATTGTTCTAACTGTCAGGAAATTTCTCCTTAGTTCTAAGTTGCTTCTCTCCTTGATGAGTTTCCACCCATGGCTTCTTGTCCTAATCTCAGGTGCTTTGCAGAATAGCTTGACCCCCTCCTCTTCTTTGGGGCAGCCCCATAAATATCAGAACACTGCTCTCCTGTCTCCCCTGGTCCTTCTTTTCATCAAACTAGCCATGCCCAGTTCCAGCAACCGTCCTTCATATGTTTTAGCCTTCAGTCCCCTAATACTCCTTCTCTCGTGCCCTTGTTGGAGTCTGATTCTGAGGGGGAGGCTGAGCAGCTGACAGGGAGTGGGAGGGTGGCTCCGGTGGCTGTGGAAGAAACGGGGGAAGGGCAAAGTCCGAATGGGCCTTCAGAGGAAGACCCAGGCCCACCCCCCTCTTTATCCTGGGGCACGCAGGGAGGAACGGAGAAGGGAGCAACGTGGCTTATGGGAGAGGAAAGGGCCCTGATCCCTTTCATTAGTTGCAGCTGGGAGAACAGGATATAAGTGGGGCATTTGCACACAGCACCTTGCTGGAAGCAAAGTGTGCATTATCTTTGTCCAGGCCTATCTGGGTTTTGGCGTCCTCCCAACTGTGGGTGCTGCGTTATCTTTTGGAAGTCTGCAATTTATCATCCTGACCTGTCGTGTTAATTACTTCAGTGTGGTTTGTGTTGTTGTTGTTTTATTTCTAATTATCTTTACTTTGAGTTCAGATTGCATTTCTTCCCTTCGTAGACTGTTTTTGGAAGAGTTTGATCTCCAGCCGAGGATAGCTGCACATTGGGGGCCAAGTTGGAGGAATTAAAGGGAATTTATTCTACTTTTGTGACTCTGTTATTTTTTCGTCTCGCCCTTTGGGTCATCACACCTTCTCTCTGCCGTCTGCTTTGTCTCCTTGCAGGACGATGCTTGTCACCTGGATGTGGTTGCCTCTTCTGGGGCTCCTGGCCGGCCACGGGAAGGCCCAGAGCTGCAAGCCGGAGCTGAGAGGCATTGGTGAGCTCTGGGGACACGGGAACCAGTGACGCCATCCCTCTGAAGGAGTTTGGCCAGCTCAGATGCTGAGAGGGAAAGGGGGAAGGCCCGTTGCCTGCCTTCCAGCTCACTATTTTGGTTTTTCATTTGTATATCCCTTTTAATTATCAGGACGTCGTCTGATTTCATTTGTACATTCGGTGTAGCATCGTTTTGCGTACCATTCTGGTAAACCGTCATTTTAAAATCCACTTTCAGTTCAGCCAATAGTCTTGCCCAGTATTATCTGTTCATTTTTCATGACATCTTTTAAACCCAATCTATAATGGCGGACGCTATTAAAATTAACTTCTGGATTATTGTTCAAATGTATACTTCAATAAGTCTGATGTTATGATACTTCATTCCGTTCTGTATTACCGGTGGTAAGTTGAATTTAAGTGTTCTTCTCCTTTTAATTGTGATCTTTAGTTCCTTCTAGTTCCCTCTTAGTGGTCAACCTTCAAAGTTGCTCCTATCATATTTTTTTTTTTTTTTAAAGAATTCAATACAAAAATATTTTCCCACAGGGAGGATTCTTATAATTAATTCATACATCTTATTTCATCTGGACCCTTAATGTGTTTTAATTTCCAAAATTAAACTAATCACCCTTTTGCTGTTTATTCCAAAAGGAAAAAAAAAACCTTTAAAGTTCTTAAACCTGTATTTAAGCTTCTTTTGCTAAGATAAATCACCTGGGGGTTGATCCAAAGATCCATAATAGCTGAAAAGCAATTAACAAGCAACTTCCAAAAGTGATTAGAAAAGAAAATATGCACATCTAAATGTCCCAGCTATGATTTGAGCAAGGATGGTGTTCCCTTGTCTTCCAGAGGTCTTGTGAGGACCCGGGTGGGATAGGAAAGCAGCAAAGTCACAAAAACAGGTGAAGTCCCTTTAATTCCTTCCACTTGGCTTCAAAGGTCCAATTATCATTGACTAGAGAAAAAAACTCCCCCACAAACAGTTGC